GAGGGAAGATGATTTGTTTTGCCTGTTCCGGTTCCAGTCCCAATTCTGGAGCCGCTGTTTCGCCGTTTCCAGTTGTCATTTTTAACCATCTCCATCCTCAAGAGAATGTTTCGGAGACGAGGAACAACGGCCCTGCAGCTTTTGGGGTCCATTGCGGTTTGGGTTGCCTAGCTGGCCGAAGTATTACCACCGATGCCTAAATTTGGGATCATTCGTGCCCGGGTGGACGCATCGAAGAATGACATTCTGAATAAGCGTAAAATTTGGGAGCTCCGCGCGGATTTCATGGATCCGCGTTGGACCCTTCTCTCTGGCTCGCGAAGCGCGCCAGTGGCGGCGCCGCAGTCGCCGCCAGGGGGTCCCTGCGCAGTTCCATGCGGAGCTCCCACAGCTTATTCTTACGCATCTATTTCGTCCTCTATATTTCGTCCTCTATACTCTATGACGCAAGCCCTGGTGTTGGTATTGGTGCTCATTTCCAAGCCCCCAGCGTTCCCCTCGCGTCCCCCCCGTGCCGCAGCCGCGCCGAAGCGCTGGCTGCGCTGGGGCGCGGGCGCACGGGCGCCCGGGCGCGCCCGTGCGTGCCAGAGGGTCAGGGGAGGGCGAGTTGGGACATCTCTTCTCGAGCAACAGCAAAACTGTATGAGTACGATTTCTCTGAGTTCGGAGCGGATTTCTTGGATTTGCGCCCGCGGGCGCCGCCCCCAGAGCGCGCCAGGGAGGGGGATACAGCTCCGATCTGAGAAGTTCGCGCGGCCCTCCGAAAGTCTATGTTTCTGCAGTGGTTTCTTCTCTTAGGTTTGTGTTTTTCGTGCGCTTGCGTTAGTTCTTGGCAGTTTCCCAGCCTCGGGATGCCCTCAGCGCCTGCGCCCAGCCGAGAGCGATTCAGGGGGTGCCCGGATCGTCCCGAACGGCCGCCAGAGAGCCGAGTGAGGACCCGAAAACCAGAGCGCAAGGATAGGGGGTGAGTTACGACAGCTGTAGTTAGCCTGCTGGGGGCTCCCTCCTGGCCACGTCTGGACGCACCTCGGAAAAATGACGCGTTGGGACCCTGGACCCCGTGAGGGGTCCGGGAACCGATTTTGAGCTGCCGTTGTCTTGCCCTGCTCCGAGGGGGTGAAGGGGGGGTCGACGGGCATGGTAGAGGTTGTGGCCGTCGTCGTGGGAAGGGCACGGGCTTCTCTCCTCCTCTTGTGCCTTATCCTGTACAGCGGCCCGTATCATAAGGATGCGCAATAAGGACGCAAATGGCCTTGGAAGGCCATTTCGAAGCTTTTCGAGCGGGGCGCGGCCAAAGAGAGTGGCCAAGGATGGACCGAGGAGGCAAGGATACAAGGAACTCCTCGGGAAGGTGGCCCATCCTCACTATGCGGGTCGACTGTAGTTTTTTGTTCGTTCCCTCACACCCGTTCTTTGGTTGGGTCCCCGTTCCGACTGCAGAGCGCTGCTGCTCCTCCTCCCGTCCTCTCCCGCTGCCTTCCCGCCTCCCTCTTTTCCAGTCTCGCGCCCCGCTCTGTTCCGCTGTCTCTCCTTCGGGCCCAGCGGAGCGCGGTGTTGCGGGGACGCGGGGATGATGCCTCTCCTCGTCTGGGTGCTGCCAGCTGCTGGGCGCGGTCTGCTGCGCCCACGGGGGTCCTGCGGAGCGCGGGGATCCAGGCTGGGCCTCGCTCTTCCGGGGTGCTGCCTGGCGCGCTGTGGGCGTGCGGCGGGATGCCGCTTCCCGAGGCGGGAATTGATCCATATCCACCGCCTGGAGGGTCAGTTTTCGGAGCCTTGGCAGGCGGTGGATATGGACAGATTCGGGCCCCGGGGGCCGAAATACATCCATGTCCACCGCCCGCTGGGGCACCAGGACGTAGGTTCCCAGGCGGTGGATCTGGATAAATCCCCGCCTCGCAAGCTCGGCGTTTGTCCAGGCTGGACCTGATCTTCCGCGGGTGCTGCCAGGCATGCTGCTCTTGCCACTTGGCTGCGCCGCTGCGGCGTCTAGCGGAGTGAAGTCTTGCGGGCATCCGGGCAAGACCTCGCCCTCCTTGGGGTGCTGCCAAGCGTGCACTGCCGCCCCTTGCCTGCGCCGTCGGGGTTCCAATCTAAACGACGCTCTCCCTGTCAGGAGCGACAGAAGGACGTACACGTACATGAATCCACGTTGGTTTCGAGAGTATGCATTGCGCGAATGTTCGTATCACGCGGACGGTCTCGCGGATCGAGAGGCCGTGTTCATGTACATGGTTGGGCGCGTACGTCCTTTGTGGGCTCCCTACCCTGGGAATCCTTTTTGCCCTCTCAGGTCGTCTTGGGGGCCAGCGTGGTCTAGGGGAAACGGTGGCGGAAACTCGAGAGCTGGGACTGGGGCATCAGGCAGGATCAGCGCATGCGGCCGACCTCGCCTTGTTATGGTATAGAGTTTTGATGGGTTTGACATTGCGAGCTGGATCGCCTGCCGCGTGTCAAAAGGAGCCTTCGATTCTCTTGTTCTCCGTTTCTCCAATCGCCGTGCAGACGTCAATCGTTGCGCTGGCGTCTGTGCACGCACACGAAATTTCAAATGAGCACGATTTTGTGCGTGCACATGTGCACGTGTGCGTGTTAGCTTGCATGCAGATTCTACGTTGAAGCTCGTCGATGGGGCCGGGCGCCCCGTAGAGATCCCCTCCGTGCTTCAGTCTTCCGATTCCAGGGCGCTGCCATTTCCGCTCAGGCTGCCCTCCAGACGCTCGATGGAGCCCCACATGTCTGCGTTGTTTTCGAGCCGGATCGACCTGTGATGGTTCCGAGGCCCGAGACCCGGCAAAAACGCTGGGTATGAAAACAAATGGCGACGCCCGGATCTCTCGCGGGCGACGATGGGGGCGAATAGCCCGGGGCAGGGCAAGAGCATGAATCCAGGGGCGCCGACGATCCATGCTTTCGGCGAGGCTCCCCAGCGAATTCGTGGTAAGGCCCGTCCCTGGGCTATTCGCCCCTACAGTCGGCCCAGATTAGTAGGTCGACCCTGCCAAATCAAGGGTACCCTTGTGTCTTGTGTCTCGCGACCCATGCTTCCTACATTCCTGTGGCAATCTGGCCCTCGGCAGGGTCTTGTGTCCTCTCTCGTGTCCTGTCCAGTCGAGTCCGACTGCATCGTCGCGTTCGAATCTCCGGGGATGCCCGTCTCTGCCGGCAGCGCCTGCCGCTGCCTCTGCGAGGGCGTCACCGCCACGGCACGCACAGCGCGGCATCGGGCGGCCTCCGCCCCCGCGGCGGCGCGCCCGCGGCGGCCCTGGACGCACGGCGGGCCGCCGAGCGCCCTGCTGGCCACTGTCGCTCAGGCTTGGATCGGCCACGCGCGGGGGCCACCAAACGGTGTGGTGACCACACCGTGCGGTGAGTCGGCGGGGATTCGGGGTCACCGCACGGTTTTGGGACTCGAGCCCCTCTCCGAGGATGTCTCGGGCGACAGGGGCCTCCAGGCTCCGACTCCCAAGACCGTGCGGTGACCGACCGTGCGGTGAGGTCTCTCGGGGTTCCGAGGTCACCGCACGGTCTGTCACCGCACCGTTTCGGGACTCCAAACACGCGCGGAGGGGGGTAGTTGCTTTGCATCTTCGGGGGACCTGTCCTGTCCCGTAAATGGAAGGCTTCTCTTGTGCTCCGACGCGGGTTCGACGCGGGTTCGACGTGGATTCGACACGGATTCGGCACGGCTTCTCCACGGCTTCGACACGGATGCGACGCGTTCGACATGGATTCGACATCGTTTCGACGTGGATCGCGGCGCGATTGGTCAAATAAGGTCCCCAGAAGATGCAGCACGAGCGTATGGGGAAGGGGGAATGATTTTTCGAAGCACCCTTGCTTATTAGAAGGCGCGGGCCTTCTCTGTAACTGTAGGGCCGGTGCCTTCTAAGAAGCAGCCTGCTTCTAAGAAGTTGTCCCTCCTCGCCCTGCCCCGATGTGCGCGCTGCCAAGCACTGGTTCCAGCCAGCAGAAAGTCAGGAGGGGAAAAAACACACAGACACAATGAATCGTCGATTCCCCAGAAAATACGGGACAATGTGGGAGGTGGGGGGAAGATGAACACTCAGAAGAGATGGGAAAACATGAGGGATCCTGTTATTTGTGTGTGTATTTACTGGTGTGTCCCTGGGCCTCTTCAGAACGAGCGGGCAAGTTTGAGGTTCTGGGCTCGGGGAGGCTTTTCACTTTTCTCGGGCCTCCAGGGGCCGCTTTCGGACCTCGCGAGCGACCGTCAGCAGCCGATGCGGTGCGCAGAGCTGCACCGGATGGACCCTGGGGAGGGTCTGGGGACTGGTTCTGAGCGGAGTTGGCCCTGCCCCCCCCTCTTCGGGGGCGGCAAAGAGTGGGGTGATCACCAGGGGGGGGTGGATCTCATGGCGTGGGCCATGGTATTTCCCCAGAGTTCATGGCGCCCATTCTTATTCCATTACGTCCCCGGCTCCCCCCCCTGGGCCGTGCACATGCCGCCGGACCTGATTTGCACCCCCCCCCTCTTGGACGCCCCCCTCTTGGCCGCCCCCGAAGCCTCCCCTCCTGACAGACCTGCCGGGGTCCCAACCAGTGCAGATCCCCTGGCCGCCTTCCAAGCTCAGGCCGCCCTCCAGGGCTTCGGTAGCAAATCGCAGGAGCTGTCTGTGTGTCCCCGAAGTTCCCCGCTCTGGAGTGCGCTGGCGTGCGCCAGCGTCTGGCAGTCGATGAGACGGCGCCGACTTCGCGCCGGTCCGCGTCGATTTGGAGCCGATTAGCGTCGATCAGCGTCGGTTCGCAAGACTTTTGAGATACGACGTTGCAAAACGTTGCAACATGGCCAACAATCACGACTGGAGCTCCTGATCCCATCTTCCTGCGCCATTTCTCAAGCCGAGCCGGATCGATCTGTGAAGGACCCGGGGTCCGAATTTGAGCGACAACGCCCCCCTGGGAAACAGTTGCAACGCCAGGACCTCAAGGGAGGCAGCAAGGTGGCATGGGAGGCTCCCGTGAGTTGCCACCGAGCAGGGCGTCCCCCCCCCCCCCTTCCCCCAAACGCGGCGCCCGAGCCATGCCCCCCCGCGGCGCCCCGCTGCTCCTGGCCCTGGCCGCCCTGCCTGGCCCGCCCGCCGCCCGTGCCGCCGCCGCCGCGCCGCGCCCGGGGGACGACGGCGGCACGTGCGACGCCGCTGGCGGCGGCTGCGCGCCCGGCGCCCTGGCGGCGGGCACCGCGCCCAGAGCTCCGACGATCTGATTTCTGCAGCCGGCGGCCCCAGTCCAGGGAGGGGGGGGGCCACCCCGAGCCCCGGAATTGGCGTTTTTGTTGAACGGCCCCTGGGCGTGTCCTCAACAGCCTTGCCCGGTCGATCCCTGCCTGCGGTGCGTTTACGAAGCAGCTTTGTCCTGGCGATCCGTTCTTCAGGGCTGAGGGGGCATCGTGCCAAGCTCTCCGACGATCTCACTTTTTCAGCCAGCGGATCCAGGTTGGAGCTGGTTGGGGGTCTGAGGTGGCCCAACACTGGTTCCGGCGAGCAGGAAGGGGGGGGGTTCGAGGTTCTGGGTTCGAGAATTGAATATCCTTTCTGGTCTATGGGGGCCGTTTTCGGGCTCCGGGACTGTCGAAAACTGATCTGGGGTAAAACATTACACCAAATGGACCCTGGGAGGGACCCAGGGACCGATTTCGCGCGGATTTGTTTTTACCCCTGCGGTTTCAGGGCCAGCATTCTTGGCCTCCCGAGCAGATGGGGACTCAAGATCACGCGGCTCGATGCGGAGCTCGACTTTCGCCACGCCGACGGCGGCGATGCATCGCCGACGTCGTCGAAGCATCGCCGTTGCATCGGCAATACGTTGGCGATGCGGCGCGATGCTCCGACCCCATTTAACTAATCGGACGCCAGTTGGGAGGCCTCTAGACACGCCGTCACTTTCCAAGGGAAGGCGTGCTCGCTGCCAGGTCATGCTACCTGGCACGGGCTGCTGATGCTGTCCTTTCTCCCCAACTACCCAGCAGACAGCTGACCGCCACAGTGCACCGCCTGCATCGATGTTTCGTTCCGCCGAAGGCTCCCGGCAGTCTGGGCTGCGCGGCGACGGAGAGGAAGAAAGGGACCGAGAAGTAAGACGCCGGCGTTTTTGTTCCTAGATTTAGGCCCTCGGGGGCCGTTTTCGGGCTGTGTCGACATCAAACGTGGATCTGGGACGAACACCTCCCCGAGGAAGCGGTAGGGACCTTTTCTGGGGCTGCGGATTGAAACAATCATATCGACGGATGTCAGGGTTCAGCGGGCGAGGAAGGGTGGAACACATTCTCCTGCCATCGATCAGATGAGGAGAGGGTAGCGATGCCGCTGCTCGCCCTGGAGAGCGCTCGTCACGACCTCCGGATTCTCCGCGGAATCCTGAACAGAACGCGCCCTGGGAGAGGTGCGGGGAGTACAGTCGAAAGCGATGGTAAGGATGGGTAACCTTTCAAAGGGCACCCTTGCATCCGGGCCTCTCTGGTCCATCCTTGAGTACGTTCGATCGGCCGCCGCGCTCGACAATGCTTCAGCACGGGGGTCCAAGGGGCTTGCATCCTTAACGCGCATCCTTACTATCAGTTTTGATTGAAGCGGCATCGGTGCCTGTCCTAGGGCACCTGTCCTGGCGCGGTTGGGTGGCTTATACCCCGACAGGTGGAGGTATACGCTTTCCAGCTGCCCTTGGACGGGCGCCCCCCGATCGCGGATCAAGCAAACGTATCATACCGTTCTTCGCCCACTAGACCATTCAGGGTCCCGGAGACCAGGACATTGCAAGCCAGGACTTTGCAGGGATTGCAGAAGAGTGCAGAATGCTTCGGCCCATGGTTGCCTGTCGGGCGTGGCAGCGTCCTGATTTGTTAGAATGTCCGATTACGGGGCCCTGAACCATCGGAGAGGCAAACACGGCACAGCCGTAAATTGTAGGAGGTCCGCGCGGGCCTCTTGCGTCGACGCCGGGGGGGCGCGGGGTCAGCACCGACCCAAGAAGTCCTTGCGGACGTCCGACAGTTTCGGTGCTGTGCCCTGCTCTTTCTTCTCCGGCACCAGCGCCTCGGACGAGTTTTGGGCGGAGATGCGGTGGCGCGGCCTGCAGCTGAACATGCGGCGCAAGCAAGTGCCCGAGCCTGCGCAGGGCGGCATGGCGGCACGGAACCGCACGGCCATGGTGGTGTCCAAGGACGTGTTCTACGGCCGTGCCATCGCCAAGATCCCGAGGCCGGTGCTCCTCAGCCACGACTCGCCGGTGGTCGATGTGGGTCTTCGGCGCGAGCTTGCTCGGCTTCTCTTCGAGGAGCGCACCCTCGCGCGCGACTACAACGTGACGAGCGAGGAGGCGACCCATCTCCTCAGCCTGGCGTACCCGCTCGTGGCGGCCCGCCGTGACGCGGGGTCCGTCTTCCGCGAGTGGCTGGATGCCGTTGCCGACGTGCGCCTGCCCGTGCTGGAGCTCACGGAGAGGCAGAAGCAGGTGCTGCGCGGCACGACCGTGGAGGGTGCCTACACGGAGATGGTCATGAACCGGGACCTCATCCTGCACACGGCGGGAAACGTTTCCACTTTTCGTGACGCTCCACTCTCGAGCGAGGAGGCCACCTGGGCGCTGTCGGTCATCATGAGGCACTCCCGAGTGGTCCACCCTCACCGCGACGTCCGGGAAGCCCAGACGTCTCGAATGTACCTCATTCCTCTCGTGGACCTGTTGGACGTGCAGCTGAGCTACAAGGCAGAAGATTCCAACGCTTTCCAGGAGGAAATCGTCCTCGAGTCTGGGAAAAGGGAGGAGGAGATGGTCGTCCAGTTCGCGCGGAGGGACATGAACAAAGGGGAGGAGGTGTTGCTGTGGCCTGGCCGGCTCTCCAACAGCGAGATGACTGTGAGGCATGGGATAAGCTTCCCCAGCAATGTCGTCGGCATTGGTCACAACATCTCTGCGCCTTCCAACTGGTCGCCAGACCCGGATAGCAAGCATCGTCGGGAGTACAGCAAGTACAATTGTACCTCCCTGGAGTCTTTCGAGCTGCGCTTCAGCAAGCGGGGGATCCCAGCGCGCAGTCTACTGCGCTGCTACCGGGTGGCCTGGTTTCTCACAAATGGCTGGTACACGCCGGCGCTGCTGAACAGATTGCGGGACCTTGACAGGTGGCCCCCGCCGAAGAAGTATTCGGGGAGCGATTGGCTGTCGTGGACCCAGGCTGACTCTGCCTTACGCGATGTGATTCTTGAGTACTGCCAGATGATGAGGCAGCAACTGAAAGACACGATGGACGCTGAGACTGCCAGCGACTTCAGAGGGTCGACCGATCCAGTGGATCGTCTGATCTGGAACATGCGAGCTGAAGAGTCCAAGACGTTCAAGGAGTGTATTGTGGTCGCCAAGAAGATTGGGTAACTTGCGGCATGAGGATACATGCTGTGCCTGGGTGTCTTCTTGTTGAGATCAGCGCAGCAAGGAGCTGTCCCTTCAGCCGGTCCCGAGTGCTCGCAGGGGTGGTCCAGCCCGTTCTTTGTCATCTTCGGGGTGAAAGCGGCTCCGGGAGGAGCGACAAGACAATAGGATGTGGAGGATGAGAGGAGGAGGAGGAGGAGGAGGAGGAGGAGGAGGAGGAGGAGGAGGAGGAGGAGGAGGCGGAGGCAGAGGCGGAGGAGGAGGAGGAGGAGGAGGAGGAGGAGGAGGAGGAGGAGGGGGAGGAGGCGGAGGCGGAGGCGGAGGCGGAGGCGGAGGCGGAGGCAGAGGCGGAGGCGGAGGGGAAAGGGGAAGGGGGAGGCGGAGGCGGAGGCAGAGGCAGAGGATGAGGATGAGGAGGAGGAGGCGGATGAGGAGGAAGAGGCAGATGCAGAGGCGGAGGCGGAGGCGGAGGCGGAGGCGGAGGCGGAGGCGGAGGCGGAGGCGGAGGGGAAAGGGCAAGCTAGGTGCGCTCGCGTCATATCTGACGTCCTACCCCTCCCTCCCATCCCTTACCATGGCACTGATTTTCTCTATCCGCGGACGCGTGTCGTAGCGGACCTGTGGCTCCGCGCGCGCGTGCGTAGTGGGTGGTGGTGCACGTGCGTGCGTGCGTGCGTGCGTGCGTGTGTGCGTGGTGGTGCTGGTGCTGGTGCTGGTGCTGGTGCTGGTGCTGGTGCTGGTGCTGGTGTGGTGGTGCTGGTGTGGTGCTGGTGGTGGTGCTGGTGCTGGTGGTGGTGTGGTGGTGGTGGTGGTGTGGTGGTGGTGGTGGTGGTGGTGCGGCGCGGTGGTGGCGGGCGGATGGGCGCGCGAGAAAGAGGCCCGCGCTGGGGCGAGAACGCCATCCTGAACGACGGAGGCCAAACACCGATCCGAAAATGAGGCCCACGCTGCAGCGGGAGCACGATCCGGAACGATTCGGGAGCAGAAATGAGGCCAGCGCCTCAGGGAGAGCATCATTTTGCAAAAAAGCGCAGGCGAAAACCCGTTTCTCGGGAATCCCGTGTGTAAAAAAACTACGCGGGGGGCGTTCGGCTCGAAAATGACGCCGGCGCCTCAGCGAGAGTCGTTTCCCGGGATTTCCCGGGAATCCTGTGTGTAAAAAAACAGTACGCGGAGGGTGCGCGGCCATCACCCGGACGCCATCAGGGGAAGAGGGAGAGTATTTTCATATTGAGTAATTGTGAAGGGGGAGGGGGAAGGGGAGGGGGAGGGGGAGGGGAGGAGGAGGAGGAGGAGGAGGAGGAGGAGGAGGAGGAGGAGGAGGAGGAGGAGGAGGAGAGGAGGAGGAGGAGGCGGAGAGGCGGAGGCGGAGGCGGAGGCGGAGGCGGAGGCGGAGGCGGAGGCGGAGGAGGAGGAGGAGGAGGAGGAGGAGGAGAGGAGGAGGAGGAGGAGAGGAGGGCGGAGAGGAGGAGGCAGGAGGGAGGGGGAGGGAGGGAGGGAGGGAGGAGGGAGGGAGGGAGGAGGGAGGGAGGAGAGAGGGAGGGAGGGAGGGAGAGGGAGGGAGGGAGGAGCAGGAAGAGAAGGAGGAGGAGGAAGTTGAGGAGGAGGGGGAGGGGGGGTAGAGGAGGAGATGGAGGAGGAATGGGACGTGGACGAGACCGAGGAGATCGAGGAACAGCCCTCACGGGGACCCGATGCTCCCAAGGACTCAGGTGCACGACGAGGACACGCGGCAAGAGGCTGGCTCCTACCGATGACACGCTTGGAGAGCTGGACACGAGCGTCGCCTATGTGGGCTGTGCTGAAAAAGTAGCTGCAACTCGCGCGAGCGTTCTCGGTGGAGGAAAGGTACCGACACCGCTATTCTTGCGTCGTTGTCTCAGTGGGACTCCAGGGGGGTCCTCGTCGCCACGACTGTATTTTCCTTTACAGGACGCACCCTGGGCGAGGTCGGGGACGCAGCGCCTCTTGATCTCTTGGTTTTCCCATGCTTGTCCCGTGCAGATCTTGCCTCGCCTCTGGCTCGGCGGCGCGCCGAGGTGGAGGGGGCTATAGGGAGACATCCCTGGGGACATCCCCCGAGGCGGCGGGGCTTCTCAGAGGCCCTCGCGCCTTCTGAGAAGCCGTCCGAGCCTAGAAGCCCATCGACCATCGAAATCCGCAGTTGCAGTACGGCAGGAATCACGGAGGCAACATGTTTGTTCTGTGATGTTTGCCATTTTTGGAGGCCGTTGGGCGTCTTCGGAGGTGATCAGGGGCTTCCCTGGGTCTTCTCAGGCGCCTCTCAGGAGCTTGTTGGAGCCTCTTCTTTGTTTCTTAGGGCTGTCTTGGGCCCCATTGAGCCACTGGGGTCATCATGAGGCCTCTTGGGAATGCCTTGGGGCCGTCTTGGGCATGTTTCCCAATGACACTGCTGTTGGATCGCTCTTGGGTCTTCTGAGGGCTCTCGTAGAGCCCTACCGGGGTCCTCAAGGAGGGGTTCTGGGCGCTCTTAGGGCTGGTGTTTGGCCATCTTGGGACCACCTCGGGGTCCGAGAAGCCGATGGAAGCCTGCACAGGCATGAAGGCGACCCTCATAGAACAACATTTGTTCGATGCTTCTGTCATCCTTGAGAATGTCAGAGGAAAGGGGCCACATAGGCACCAGCTCGGAGCCATCTTGAGACACCTTTGGGCCAACATGGGGTCTGACATGCTTTACTCCGCTCTCTTGGCGCGCTCTTGTGCGGTCATGGGGCCCAGTGAGGTCCGTAGTAGACCCCCCAGAGATGCCTACGCGCGTGCGGACCATAGATCTAAACATTCCGGCCTGAGTCCAGCCAGAGTTACCTTTGTGAAAGATCTAGCACGCTTGTGGCCCGTTGGGCTGGTGAACTGATCCTTTGTATTTTCATGTCTTCGCATCCAGAGGGTGTCGTACGGTTATGGACAGCGTGTCAGCGCGAGTGTACGCGAGTCGAGTGCGCGTGTGCGCGTGCGCATGTGCGTACGTGTTAGTGTCTGTGTGTGTGTGTGTCTCTGCTGTGTGCATGTGTCTCTGTGTGTGCGTGTGCGTTTGTGTGTGTATGTCCACAGCAGCCAGCCTTGGCTCGAGTCCAGCAGGCCTTACGTATGCACTACCGCTCCGCTTCATGACGAAGTCCAAGAAGGCAGCCGCGCTGGTGCGGCTGCTGCTGGCGTGCCCCGTTGTCACAGCGCGGGCGGCGCACATCAGACGCGATGGCGCATCGAAGGCGTCCGTGGAGCTCGCGGTCATGTCAATGTGCCCTGATGCGGTGGTGTGCGAGCAAGCATTCGCGCCGGTGCTGAAGAGCATGTCCGACCAGGTGTCGAGCGGGGCTGCGATCGTGAGAAATCCTTCCCCGAACCATCTGGAGCGCTCTGGAACAGCCGCTCCGCCCAAGACACCCTCCAGGACCGCCAGATCCCAGAGATCTCCGATGTAAGCATTCTGACCTGATTTCGTGTTCTGGGCTTTCTTCGTCTCACAGGTGGACCTCTCTCTGTCCTACATCGGCACCCGGGACGAGCGGGGCGCGCCCGCGTGCATGCACGGCGCGGGCGAGTGCGAGGGCAACGTGCAGCAGCTGTGCGCGCACCGCGCCGCCAAGGGGAGCTGGGGAAGACACAAGCTACCGGAGCCGCTACTCATCGACAGTTCGGCGGCGAGCGAAGGGGGGAAGTGAGAAGGAGGAGGCCTTCTCAGAAGGGTCGGCAGGCCCCCAGCCTTCTGAGAAGTTTTCTGAGCCTTCCCCGAGGACAGAAGCATGTTCTCAGAAGGCGCGAGGGCTTCTGAGAAGTCCCGCCGCCGTCTGAGAAGGCCTTCACCTTTTCAGTTCCCCTCTCGCTCGCCGCCGAATAGTTGAACGTAGGCAGTTTTCGGCACCCAGATTTCAATCTACTTTTGGCGCCTTCCTACTTCAAGCGTCGAATGTTTTTCTTCCTTTGTCCTCAGTGTTCGGGCGGATGTCCATCCTACTTCCCACGCCTTCCCGCGTCATGTCTCAACCCACGCCTGCCGACTGATACCATCATCGGCAGAACCATCCCCCCTCCCGCCAGGATGGGGTGTGCGTCCACAGGGCGCGTGGCGTTGCCGCCCAACATGGCCCGACGAACGTTTCAGCAATGCCGAGCACAAGACGGATGGGGCTGCCCGCAGGATCACGGTTCGGGGGCCCCTGCCGCCTTGGCGCGGCCCCTTGGGGGGGCCTCACGGAGGCCCACGAGCGCGGGCCCGCCGGCCAGCCTCTGCGGCGTTTCGCTCGGTGGCCGGCCTTCGGTGGGCCGCCCTCTGTGGCCTGCTCTCCGGCCAGCCTCGGCGGGCCCGCCGGCCAGCCTTCGGTGTGAGTGGCGGCGTTTCGCTCGGGTTTGAACGCGCCGCTCCCCGCCGAAGGGTGGCGTGGTCAGGTGGGTTGCGGAGGCTGCCCCCTTGACCCCCCTGGCGGAAATTGGAGGTTTCGCGCGCGCGCCGATGTGACCCCCTCTCCCGCAAGAAACGCGCGCGGCTTCCTGCCGCGTCGGCCTGAGTCGGTACCTGCGCGCGCGTGCGGCAGGACGCCGCGTGGCCCAGGTCGCCGCCGTGGGAGCTGCGTGTGTCGTGCCTGGGTGGTCTCTCACTTCCCTGGAGGGGTGGGGATGGTTTCGCACTTCCTGATGGTAGGTGTAAGTCGGGCCTGTCCCTCTACAGGAGGAGTATTCAAAAATAGTTAAGATATAGTAGGAGGACAGGCCCGGCTTAATGAGTGGTGCTCCCAACCCTCCCTCCCGGGGTGCGTTCTGACCAGACTTTCGCGGCGAGTCCAGCCGTGGCGACGAGGACTTCCCAGAAGGCCCATGAGAAGGCGAAGACGAGGCAGGGGTAGCGGTACCCGTGCCCTTTCTCTCTCCGAGGAACGTGTCGATGCTGATGGACTTCGTGCTCTGCCAGGGCGAGGACCGAGGAGGCGCAATCACCAGGGCGAGGACCGAGGAGGCGCAATCATGGACTCAGGCGCGTGGATCAGCGACGGGGCCCGCCTCCGTGCAGAATCGGCGCGCTGCAACGCCAAATCCAAATCGGGCGGCATCTTCTTCGATCTGTGAACCTGGAGCCCACGGGCCAGATCCACGGACGGAGGAGACACCAACCATACGGACACACATGTTCTGCCTCGATAAACCCAGTCGGAGGTTGATAGACCCCCCCTCCTCCTCCTCCTCCTCCTCCTCCTCCTCCTCCTCCTCCTCCTCCTCCTCCTGGTCCTCCTCCTCCTCCTCCTCCTCCTCCTCCTCCTCTTCCTCCTCCTCCTCCTCCTCCTCCTCCTCCTCCTGGCAAACTCATCGTCTGCCTGGCGCGCCGTGACTGCGGTGGCGCAGTGGCGCACGCGAGCGCGCCCACCTTGCGCCGGCGCGAGGATGCGCAAACGAAGCTTTAGCCTCGGCTCGTGCTCGCGCGTCGCTTCCTCGTCGGATCCCGGACACTCGAGTCGGGCTCTCTGGCGCGCAACCGGAACATCGCGACTCCAAGTAAAGAGTCGGTTTACGCGTCCCTTCGTCGGTCAGGATTGCGACGCTGCGTGATGTCAAATCACCGTCGCCGCTCCCGCAACCGCATACTGCGGCGGTGAACGGTTTCGATACCAGGGGCGCAGCGCCGGAGCCGCCATATGCCGCCATTCCCGACCGCCACAATGCAGTTGGTTCCCCCTCGCCTGGCCCATCTCCAGTGCCAGACATCGCGCGGTGGCGCCAGATCGCAGACTAATGGACCAAACGCGAAGCGGCGGCGGGGAGATCGGGCGGGGGTGCATGCAGGGAGGGGGCTAAGAAAGAGAGGGGCTAAGAAGCGAACCAAGGATGGCGGGACGGGGGAGCTAAGAAACGAACAACCGGGAGAAACGACGAGGGTCCGTGGGGGCAAGACGGGGAGAGGAGAGAGGATACCCACGGGGAGGGCATCCGACGGAGTAAAGATCTCTTCCACGAAGTGTAAACCTTTACAAACCTTTACTGGCATGGAAAATTATAGTAGAAAATTCTATTTTAAACACTCGCAGTAACAATCTAGAGACTAATAATCTCATGGGTTTTCATTGTATTTTCATTCAAATATTTCTTCTATTAACCATGGAATTATAATCTTTAATTTCTTTATGAAAATGACGGCTGAAAATGAGATGAGGGGCAGAGTGGGAAGAGGAGGAAGGAGCGGTGATGGAGGAGGGGGACGGGGAGGGAGAGTGAAGAGTGGGCGGGGAAAACGGACGGAGACGGGCAACGAGGGCAGGGTGGGCGAGCAGAAAGAGAATGGATCAGAGATCAGGGCGAGGCGAGGAGGGAGACGACTGCAGAGGGCGAGGCAGGACATCGACGGCGAGAAGAGGAAGAGGATGAGGAGGAAGAACGAGATTGGAAACGTCACATCTATTGCCGCAAGCAGTTCCACAGTCCCGACGCGTGCGCATCGTAAGGGATTGGTTCCTCCAGATACCCTCCTCCTGCTCACTGGCACGCCCCTGCCTCGCGAGCCCGTGCCGCGATTTCGGGGCAGCTGTGCCGCGAGGGGCCGAACTGTCCGCGATCTTTAGCCGCAGTTATTCGACGTCTCCAGGTATCCGAACGTTGCTTTTCATCAGCGCCCAACATGGCCGCGGCGGGACCCGACTGCCCCCGTCGCAGTCTCACCAGGCCCCATCGCCGCACGAGAAGGCCCGAGGCGTCCTCAGAATTCCCACGAGCCCCATGAGAGCCAAGGCCCTTCGCGACCTGACAGTTTAACTGTTGGTGTTTTCTCGATACTACTGGGCCCAGTCGACCTTGCCCCCGGCGGGGACACCGCGGCCAGGCCATTGGTGTATATCAATTTCTGGGTATACGCGCATTCGTGTTTTTATGTGGTGAATGGTATATACACCAATCTGGAGGGTTTGGTGTGTACGGTTTTTGGTGTATACGCGCTGTCGTGTTTTCATTGGGTTTGGCGTACACACCAATGTCGTCCCCGGAGTGCCCTGACATCGTCGCCTCCAGCCGGGCCGGCTGGGGCTTGCGGCGCCGACTGGCCATCCCCCTGGAGGGCCTGCGCCGTTGTCAGGCAAGCGGCGCCCGGGTAGACTCGGGCTCAGATGGCCTCCAACACACGCCAAAACATTCCGCATCTCCACTGGACGGCTTGGGGAGGCCGCAAGACGTCCACTGACCCCCCAAAAAACAATGTGACGATTTGACAATCGAATTGTGTCCATGAACCTTGCCTTCTCGACGTGGCGGTTTCCGTCTGGTTGCTGCGCTTCACCATGACTGCTGGCGCGGCGCGATAGTGGACGTCGCATAATGCGCAAGGAAGCGCAAGTGGCCGCAAGCGGGAGGCGCGATCTCCCTGGCGGTCTGCGCCTGGTCTGTCTCGTGCGTCACTCCTCTCCTCCCCGCTCCTCCTCGCTTTTCCTCCCCATTTTTCCTCGCCCTCCTCTTCCTCCCTTCCCCCCTCCCCTTTCTCCCAAGCCCATCCTGCCTCCTCCCTCCCCGCCTTCGCCTCTCCCTCCCCCTCCCGCCCTCTTCTTCCGGAGGGAAGAAGCAACAGGGAAGCAAACGACGAGTAATGTGATGGTGCGCGGCGTTGCGTAGCAAGAACTGACTCGGTCGGTGACCGCGGACGACGGAGGACATCGACTCTGGAACGCAATATGTTCCTAGGGTCGCCTGTGTTTTTCCGGCGCTGCACGAGTCAACCTGCCGCAGGCGCGCGCCTGTCGCGAACCGAACCTGATCGCGTTGCACCCCTGCCCCGACTGCAAACCGCCACTCCAGCAATATACCCCCGAGCCATGAGCGCGAACCGCCCATTTCAAGCAGCAGGCCCCGCCAGAGTATCAAACCCCAGAGCATGTGATAAAAAGAAGGAGTTGCCATGATGACAGCGAGGAGGGCGCGCGGGGATGGCGATGACGAGGAAAAAGGGAAAAGACGGGCGACGCGATCAATTCAAACAATAATCGGGGTTGTTGCTTAATCACCCACCAGGGGAAACGTTGCAACTGTTGCCAGATGCATTGCCGAGCGCACCATGTTGCGATTGTCAGAATTCAGGGCCCCCAGCGGACAGAAACGACCTACCTGTATATTTGCAGTGTTCCCTGATTCCGTCCTCTTCATATGTTTAAGTCGGGCCTGTCCCTCTAAAGGGGGAGTATTCAAAAGTAGTCAAAAATATTATGGGACTATTTTTTTTGTTTTTTTTGACCACTGTGGAAAGTTTTTGGGGTATTTCCCTACCTAGGCTCTGCCTAGAAGGGTTCTTACCGTCTAAGCTTGAAGGGGCCGGGCAGTGGGGCTCGCCCCGGGCGGTTCCCCCGGCATCCGCCCCGCGGTTCCCCCAGTCCCCTGGGAGTTTTAGCTTTAGCTTTAGCTTTATTTAGCTTTAGCTTTAGCTTTAGCTTTAGCTTAGCTTTAGATTAGCGTTACCTTAGCTTTAGCTTAGCTTTAGCTTAGCTTTAGCTTAGCTTTAGCTTAGCTTTAGCTTAGCTTTAGCTTAGCGTTAGCTTAGCTTTAGTTTAGCTTTAGCTTAGCGTCACCTTAGCGTTAGCTTAGCTTTAGCTTAGCTTTAGCTGAGCTTTAGCTTAGCTTTAGCTTAGCTTTACTTTAGCTTTGCCTTAACTTTACTGTTACTACTAATGCTGTTTTCCTAGGGGCTCCAACTCCTAGGTAGGGTCGCACTGGGATAGTTTTTATCCGTAAGGGCTTCGCCCCCTGCCGCCGGCCCCCTCTCTCGGAGAATGGGCCATGGAAGAGCTAAGTCATGAGGCTTTGGCGCTGTCGTGCAGCAGTATCGGAACTTCATGCGAGGCCGATTCGCAATCGGCAAAACCAACTGATCACAAGAGGGGTTACCACACAGGGCGATTGGTAAGACGTGTATGGTTTACGAGCTTGGTTACCACACCTTGGGATTAAAGGGCCGAGGGAGTACTCGCAGTTTGGGTTACCACGCCTTGCGATGGATGTGCGTGAGGGGTGGCACAGAATTTCAGAAATGTGGCAAATCCCCTGTGTTTTTGGACCCTGACCCCGCGGATCTGCGTGAGGGGTGGCACCGAATTTCAGAAATGTTGAAAACCCTTGTGTTTTTGGACCCTGACCCCGCGGATCTGCGTGAGGGGTGGCACGGAATTTTAGAAATGTAGCAAATCCCTTGTGTTTTTGGACCCTGACATCGCGGATCTGCGTGAGGGGTGTCACCGAATTTCAGAAATGTGGCAAATCCCTTCTGTTTTTGGACCCTGACCCCGCGGATCTGCGTGAGGGGTGGCACCGAATTTCAGACATGTGGCAAATCCCATGTGTTTTTGGACCCTGACCCCGCGGATCTGCGTGAGGGGTGTCGAGTTCGAGCCCCCCCAGCAATTCAGACAACGCGCCCAGGGGGTGCTAAAAAGTCCTGTTTGGGCCTCCCCCCCCCTCGCGCGGTCAATCAACTAGTTACAGCAACCAGCAAGAAGCAGAACTGTAACACTGGAAACTACAAGCTACAACTGGTACAGGAAACTGCGAATCACGGTCCTACAGCCTGGTGGCCCCACAAGGGGGCCGGCGGATTTTTCGTCGAAAATCCCCCTGTAGGGGGGCACGCCCGACTTAATCCTATGCTCCGGCAGCCAGAGCGCTGGAGTCAGAACCGCCTTGGGCTCGGGAGGGGCTCGTCTTCGGGCCGCTCCCCGGTCCCTGGTCGTGGCGCCTGCTCGTGGCCTCGGCCCGCCGTGGCTCGGAGAGCCCATCGTGTGGTGCCGCTCCCTCCTGGTGCGCTCCGCGTGGTGGCTCGACGCCTAGGCCCCAGGCCTCGGTCTCGTTGGGTCCCCACCCCCGTCCCCGTCCCCATCCCCGCGCCGCCGATCCCCCTCCCCGCACCGATCCCCCTCCCCGTGCAGACCGCCCTCATCCTTGCACCCCAGTTGGGGGCACACGCCTCGAAGCCCGAAGGGCACGGCCCACATCCCCATCTGGGGGGTCACTCGGCCAGTGGGGCCCAGGCCACGTTCATGCTGGTAGGGTTCGGTTAAACGATGCCTAGTGCCAGCGCGCGCCCGAGAGGACCGCAAGCAGATCCCGGCCAACGGCAGGCCCTGCGCCGAACGCGCCGGCCTGCCCCTGCTCGCGTGGGAGGCGTGCTCGTCGGGGCCGCAGGGCTCCAGCCTCCTGCTGCAGTCCATGGAGCTCGGGTGATGTGATGGGTCACTTTCCCGACACCACTGCCATAGGTAGGACGGGGGAGAAGGGGGGATGGGGAGGCCAGCCTCCTCCTCCTCCTCCTCCTCCTCCTCCTCCTCCTCCTCCTCCTCCTCCTTCTCCTCTGCCGTTGCCAGCTGCTGCCATGGCGGCTGCTCTACCTCGCCGTCAGCCTGCGGGCGTCCCTTACCCTGCGGACGCTCTCCAGTCGGCGCCCACCACCTCTGCCTATGGTAGTGGTGGTGGAACTTCGGCCCATCCCCAGGGGCAACGCCAGGAGGGGGCGACAGGCTGTGAGGTTCGGGGTCTGCGGGCGCCTCTTCGCTGGCCCTCGGAGGCCATCCAGCCTCGCAGGGCCCTCCGGCTGCTGCGCCTCGCCGTAGGCGCCCCCGGGGGCGCCCGGCTCGTCCCGCACGGCCCCCGGAGAGCCGAGCGAAGGCCCGACAGCCCAGGCGCAGCGATAGGGGGGGATGGGCGCGGGGGGCGATGCATCGGCCCCCCCTCGCCCACTGATCGCCGATTGTGGCCCGACGGCCTGTCCCGCCCAGGACCGTGCATTTTGTGCTAGCAGGGGCCAGTCGCCCATCCATCGGCGAGGTACCCGCCGGTCCCCGGGCCGATCTCTTCCCCTCTGAGCCGGTCCCCCCCGAAGTGCTGCCTCGCAGGAGAGCGCAGGGAGGCGCAACGTCCGCGTGTCCTGCACAGTCTTCGTCAACGGCGAGCAGTTCTGCCAGCACAACGAGGATCATAGGAGGAACAGCGACCGATTTTACGGAGGCCCTCGTCGGCTGGATTCGCCTCGGAGTTCTTGTCAGAGCGCAGCCTGGGGGAGGTCCGTAGAATCATCTCGGCGAAGGGCCCAAGCAGATGTAAGCCTGATCATCGCAAGGCAGGAAAGACGAAGGAGGGATAGCTCCCTATGGGGCCCCGAAACGCGTGAGGGGTGTGCCACACTGGGGCGGGGCCGCCATGCGGGCGCTGTTATTGGGCATTCGGAGGGGCTCCCTAAGGGGCCACGACGCGTGGGGTGTGCCAAAATGGGGCTGGGCCGCCATGGGGTCGCTGCGATTGGGGCCTTCGGAACAGCTCCCCATCGGGACACAATGTGTGTGAACTTTGTGTCAAACGGGGCCGTGCCGCCATACGGGCGCTGCCGCTATGAGGCCACGGATCGTGTGAGGTGTACGCCAGAAGCGGGGTTGCCATGCAGGCGCTGCCATTCGGGCCTTCGGTGGAGCTCCCTATGGGGTCACGGAACGTGTGACAGGTGTGCCAGGATGGGACGGGGGCGCCATGCGGGAGTTCTCATTGGGGCTTTCGGTGGAGCTTGCTATGGGGCCACGAAACGTGTGAGGGGTATGCCAGAGTGGGGCAGGGCCGCCATGCGGGTGGTACCATGAGGCCTTCGGTGGAGCTCCCTATGGGGCCACGACACGTGTAAGGGGCGTGCCAAAATGGGTTGGTGCCGTCGTGGGGGCGCTGCCTCTTGGGTCTCGGGGGGAGCTGCCTATGGGGCCACGAAGCGTGTGAGGGGTGTACCGACATGGGCGGGGCCGCCATGCGGGCGCTGCCACACGGGCCGTCGGGGGAGCTCCTTACGGGGCCAACAAGCGTGCGAAAGGTGTGCAAGAATGGGGCAAGGCCGCCATGCGGGCGCTGTTACAAGGGCCGTCGGGGGAGCTCCCTACGTGGCTACGAAGTGCGTGACAGGTGTGACGAATTGGGCAGGGCCGCCATGTGGACGCTACTACTGGGGCCTTAGGTGGAGCTCCCAATGGGGCCACGCGTCAGGGTTGCACCGACATGGGGTGGGGCCGCCATGCGGACGTTGCCAGTGGGCGCTTCGGAGGAGCTCTGTTTCGGGCCACGGAACGTGTGAGGCGTGTGCAAAATTGGGGCAGGCCCGCCATGCGGGCGCAACCACAGGGGCCTTCGGTGGAGCTCCTGGTGGGGCCACCACATGTGCGCTGGGCGTGCCGACATGAACGCGGCGCCGCCGTGCGTACCCTGCCTCGCAAGGATGTGGGGCCACGAAACGTGTGAGTTGCCTGGCGAAGCACAGACGTGGGTAGATGGGGGAGTGATGCCATGCTAATGATGGTGATGGTAATGGTGATGACGATGCAGACGGCGATGCGCAACATGCGCAGCACTATGATGGTGCTCATGATGTTGCTGCTGCTGTTGCTGATGATGATGCTGATGATGCTGCTGATGATGCTGCTGCTGATGATGATGTTGATGCTGCTGCTGCTGATATTGATGATGCTTATGGTGCTGGCGATGCTGTTGTTGCTGTTGGTGTTCATGGTGGTGATGAGGTAGCTGATGCTAACGATGATACTGCTGGTGATACTGATGGTGGGGATAATGATGCTGCTGACGATGATGATGGTAATGCTGATGCTGCTGATGATGATGATGATGCTGATGCTGATGCTGCTCATGATGATGATGATGATGCTGCTGATGTGATTGATGATGATGATGCTGTTGGTGATGACGACGATGCTGACAGTGATTATGCTGATGCTGATGATGATGGTGATGCTGATGCTGCTGGTGATGTTGATGGTAATGCTGTTACTGCTGTTGCTCGTGCTGGATGTACTTGCGGTGAGGATGCTGTTGCTGTTGCTGCTGCGTGATACTGATGATGTTGATGCTGTTATTCACATTGATGATGATGATGCTGCTGATCATGATCATGATCATGATGATGATGATGATGATGATGATGATGATGATGATGATGATGATGCTGATGCTGATGCTGATGCTGATGCTGATGCTGATGCTGATGCTGATGCTGATGCTGATGGTGATGGTGATGGTGCTGCTGATGATGATGACGTTTGCGACGATGATGCTGCTGATGATGGTGATTATGTTGATAATGATTGTGATGACGCTGATGATAGCTTGATGATGCTGATGCTGATGCTGATGCTGATGACGATGATGATGCTGATGCTGCTGCTGCTGATGATGATGATGCTGATGCTGGTGCTGATGCTGGTGGTGATGGTCGCGACGAGGTTTGATAGGTATATAGTCATATATCAGAGTGAGAAGGCCGAACGGCCATTCATTGCTCCTGGGTGTGTGGCTGAATAGGGAATTCGTGGTGATAATTCTGTTTGTTGCGTTGTTGTTGCTGTTGTTGTTTGTTGTCGTCGTCCCACCCGCGACCCACCCGTGATGCATCCCGCGACCCACCCCGCGACCCACCCCGCGACCCACCCCGGGACCCACCCCGCGACCCACCCGCGACCCAACCCGCGACCCACCCGCGACCCACCCCGCGACCCACCCGCGACCCACCACCCGCGACCCACCCCGCGACACAACCGCGACCCACTCATTCGCGACCCATCCGCGACTCATTCGCGACCCACCCGCGACCCACCCCGCGACCCACCCTCAAGGGAGGAAAAACAACCTGGACCCGACAATTGACGTTTACTAAACGGCCCTGGGCGTTTACTAAACAGCCCTGCCCTGTTGGATTCATTCCTTGTGTGCGTTTACTAAACGGCTTCGCTTGTTGGGGTGATTCTTATGGGGTGGATTTTCTGCCCTTTACACCCGCGACCCACCCGCGACCCAACAACGACCCAACAACGACCCACCCGCGACCCATTTGCGACCCACCTGCGACCTACAACGAAAAAGTCGGCGCCTGCGGCGGGCTCGTTGTATAATTTGTAAAACTTTAGCGCCTGCGGCAGGCTTCTCCAGAGTCTTGCAACCATTAGCACGCGCGGAGGGTTGAGGCAGGGATGGGAGGAGAGAGAAGGGGGCCTGCGGGCGGGATGAGGTGGGACGCGGGACGCTGCCACTTGAAAACGATGCGGGACGCGGCCCCATACCAAAGGAAGGTTGGGTAAACATTTGCATACACATAACTGTGGGAGGTCCGGGCGTTCTTGGATCGGCGCTTGACCCCCTCCTGGGGTCAAGGAGCTCGGGCCCCGTACAGATCCGAGAAATCTGCGCGAAGCTCCGCAAGTTCTGCGCAGGCCTTCCGCCTGCGCGTTCGTCGTCGTCTGCCTGCTTCTCCCCTCGTCTTCCCCCCTCGCCGGGCAGCACAGCCTGCCCGGGACCTGCGTTGGGCGGGCCTCCCTGAACCAGGCCTTGTTGTTGCCTTCCTGCCTCTGGAGGAGTGGGTGAACTGCGGCTCGTGCGGGGACGACAAGGCCGCGTGCCTGCGCGCCAAGCTGCTGCGATGAGCCGCGCCCTGCCGCGCGGCCGGCGTGCGCATCGCCCTCCGACTGTCGGTCGGCTGCCTGGCGACTGCCATGGGCGAGAAACAGATCCTTGGCATCGCTCGGGCGTGTGCGTTTTTTTTCTCGGCGGGGACAAACGAGGAGCATCCTGGATCATCTGGCGAAACAGCACGCACGAAACCGAAACATGCACGGGGAATGGACGTCCGAGCGATGGCGAGTGTCCGCATCCGCGGCCTCGTGGGCCGGGCCCCTGGGCCGCGACCCCGCGGCGTTTTTTCGCGGAGGTTTTGCGCGGAACCCATCCGTGCGGCCGGGTATCCGCGGGAGGGCGCCCCAGAAAGCAGACCGCGGGGGTGCGGATACGGATATGTGCGGCGCTCGTGAGATTGGGTTCGGCTCCCACGGTCCATTGGCGTCGGGGACAGCATCGACCAAAAACCAAACGTCACCACTCAACCTACGGTCCTCCATGCTGTGCTACGGCTCATTGTGCACACCACGTAAAGGCCCAAGCCAGATTTCATGGTACATGCTGAGGCCCGGTGGGCTGCAGGTGGGGTGGTGTGGCTTCTTCTCAACATCATCAACCTCATCATCATCATCATCATCATCATCATCATCATCAGCAGCAGCATCAGCATCAGCATCAGCATCAGCATCAGCATCAGCATCATCATCATCATCATCATCATCATCATCATCATCATCATCATTATCATTATCAGTATCATCATCATCATCATCATCAGCACCATCATCATCAACACCATCGTGAAGATCATCGTCAATATCATCATCATAACCAGTTTTTCCAGACGCGATGGGGTCTGTCGGACGGGTCCAGGATGAGGATAGAGCCGTTCCCGAGCGCTCCAGAGCGCTCTCAGAGCGTCAACACCATTATCAATATCATCATCATCATCATCATCATCATCATCATCATCATCATCACCATCACCATCACCATCACCATCATCATCATCATCATCATCAGCATCAGCATCAGCATCAGCATCAGCATCGTCATCAACCTAACCATCATTAACACCCCCAACAACATCATCAACCTCATCATCAGTAACATCACCAACAACATCATCATCATATCTCATTTTTTTTCCAGACGCGATGGGGTCCGTCGAACCGGGCCAGGATGAGGATAGAGCCGTTCCCGAACGCTCCAGAACGCCTCAGGGCGTCATCATCATCAACATCATCATCATCATCATCATCATCATCATCATCATCATCATCATCATCATCATCATCATCATCATCACCAGCAACATCAACATCAACATCACCATCAACATCAACATCAACATCAACATCAACAACATCATCATCGACATAACAAGTTTTTCCAGACGCGATCGGGTCTGTCGGAAGGGGCCAGGACCAGGATGGAGCCGTTCCCGAGCGCGCCGGAGCGCTCTCAGAGCGTCCTGGAACGCCCCAAGAAGGCCGCGGCGGCCGATGCATTCTCCAGAGCCGCCGCATTTTAGAGATTCTCGATGCATACTCAGCCGAATTTGTTCTCGTCATGGCGCCGTCTTAGTCCGAGGCGGAGCTTCATCCATAACCACCGCCTGGGGGATCGATCTCCGCGGACCTCCACGGGCGGTGGATATGTATATATTCGGGCCACTGAGGGCCATAGCAAGTGGCACGCGTGCCCTGGCTCTTGCACAAAGGAGCTGCGAGGGACAAGAGGCTTTCGCCTCTTTCCTCCAGGAGTTTCCTTCTGTGGCCATGGGGGGGAGGACGAACGACGAACGAACGACAAAGACGACGAGCGAGAATGAAGAGGTCCGAGCCCTAGAACCACAGCTGTGCACGAGAATACTCCAATATCCACCTCCCGCTGGGGCACCAGGACGTCGGCTCCCAGGCGGTGGGTATGGGTCAATCCCCGCCTCGCACCCAGTCTGGGTCCTTCGGCCCCCTTCCCGCCTCCCCCCTCCTCACGGCCCCCAGCGGGGTCCGCGGAATCTCGCCGCCGGCGCGGGCGGAGGCGCGCGTTGCGGAGCCGTGGCGCTCGCCGCCCGGAGGGGAGATCTCCGCTCCTCCATTGCGCCCTCTACGGCGGAGGAGGAGGAGGAGGAGGAGGAGGAGGAGGAGGCGGAGGAGGAGGAGGAGGAGGAGGAGGAGGAGGAGGAGGAGGAGGAGGAGCCCTCTTCCCCACCCAGGTCCCGTGCAGAGTGGCCCGCTCCCTATTTCGACTGACTCTTGGGCGCAGTTTCGCCGCGCCCCTCCTCCCCGTTGCGGTCAGACAGGCATGCATCTGTGAAAGGCTCACTTCAACCAGGCACCCCCGTTTTCCTGCCCCCCCACCCCACCCCGACCAGAAACGGTAAGTGAGCCTTCGCTCGATCCGATCCGATGCGATTGCGATCTTCCTGCGATCGGATGCTTGCACAGCGTAGCTGTACCCGAGCGCAGCGGATCCGATTCGACTCCGACGCCGTGCCGGGCCTGCCCGACTCGATGCCCTACAGGTCACCCGCGGGGGCGCCAGGATCCGCGCGTCGCGCATTGCAGGGGCGCGACGTGCGGAATCATGTGACCTCCTCCTCCTCTTCCGTCCTCGGCCTCCTCCTCCTCCTCCTCCTCCTACTCCTCCTCCTCCTACTCCTCCTCCTCCTCCTCCTCCTCCTACTCCTCCTCCTCCTCCTACTCCTCCCCCTCCCCCTCCTCCTCCTCCTCCTCCTCCTCCTCCTCCTCCTCCTCCTCCTCCTCCTCCTCCAAGTTTCGACCGCCTCCCGGTCACCAGTGTTCCCTGGCGGGAGCCTCCACGGAGGCCCAGAGCGGCGCGCAGCCTCCGTCCGGATGGTGTCGATCCGCTGCGGGGTCTGAGCTCTTACCGATCCGAGGCCGACCGCTCCTCCAGAGGAGGAGAAGGTACCCATACCTCTACACTCTCCCCGTCTTCCCCTTTCTTGGCCTCCTGGGCCTCCCTCGTCGCCACCGCTGGATTCGCCCCGAAATCCTGGTCAGAACGCACCCCAGGAGAGGTCCGGGGAGCAGCGCTATCGGCAGCTTTTGGTCTCCCCAGTCCCGACCTTCTTGCGGCCCGCTGTTTGTCGCACGCCTCCGCGGCGCTGCGGTGCGGTGGACCCCCTGGGCCTCCGTGCAGCGCCCAGGCCTCCGCGCGGGGCGGCGGCCCTGCACCGAGGCGGGGGTCCCCGGCTCCCGTCCGCGCCGCCGCCCCCCGGGGGCCGCTGCGCCCGGCGCCCCGCGCCCGCCCGCCATGCTGCACGGAGGCCTGGGCGGGGCGTGCCGTGCACGAGGCAGTCGTCTGGCGGGCGGTGCGCGCCAGTCGTGGAGAGCAGGCGGTTCGGGACTCCCGGGCCCATAGCTGCTGTGGCCTTGTGGAGGACGATCGATGGAGAGGAGGCATGTTGCCAAAGAATGTCCAGATGTCTGAAGGATGTGTCAAGAACTGTTGAAGTAAATGTGAAAACACGTTCTACACATGTCCAGGGGATTTTCCCGACATTTGGAACACATGTTTTTATTCGATGATAGGATTGTTAGGGTGTCCATTGTCGTGGCATCCACAACTTTAGCCGCCTTCCTACTTCAAGAGTCGAGCGTCTGCTTCCGTCCCTCCTCTTCAGAGTGCGGGCAGGAGCCCATTCTCCTTGCAACGCCTTCCTGCTTCGGGTTTCTACCCACTTCTTCCGACCGACGGGTCATGGGCTGGGCTGGGCGATAATGGGCTTATCCCATGGGCGGGCGATCATTTGCTGGGCGATCACGGGCCTAACCCGGGGGTGGGGGCGATGACGAGCTGGGCGATCATGGGCTGGGCGATAACAAGCTTGGACGGGCGATCACGGGCCTGGCCCGGGGGGGGAGGGGACCGGCCACGTCACGATTCGCGCCAGCGCCGTTAGGAAATGTTCAGGAGTGGCCACTTCCCAGAGGGCACCTGCGCGAATCGTGACGATAATTACCAGGGCGGTGGAGGGTGGAGGGGGCGGGGCGGGGCCAGAACCGGGCGTTTTCGCGAATTACCGAAAATGAGTATGTTCCCTCCTTTCCCCCCCCCCCGCTGCAACCATTTGCGAACACTTCCCCCGCTGGTCCAATCGGCGACGGGGCATCAGACACCACGACTAAGGTTAGCTTGGCTGCGAACATCCTCGGAGTTCTGACCCCCAAGCTCGGGCCCCGATGCCATCAAACGAATGACCTGGGACGCAAAATTGCCCCCCAGGGAACGGGTCGCACGCGTTGGGCCGAGGATTGAAGAAGCAGAATTTCCAGGCGCGAAGATGAAACAACAAGCATTAAACAATTTACACATATGATATATCCACCAGGAAACATAACGCGCAACATAGAACACATAACAGTACTACTTTTGGGAAGAGCAGTAATCGGCACACGCGCACATTTTCGGAGGGCCTGGTGGCGCCCGCCGCGCCTGCTGCTGTGATGAGCAGGAGCTGTCCTGGAGCACGAGCCACGGCATCTATACACAGGCTCTCGGAGGTCCGCGCGGATTTCTTGGGTCGGCGCTGGACCTCCCTCCTCGGGGCGTAGCGTGCCAGTGGCGGCGCGAGAGGCGCCGCCAAGGGAGTCCAGCGCCGATTCAAGACAAATTCAAGCGGACCTCCAAGAATTCTGTTTGTGCATCTTTTCGTCCTCCTTCAGGCTGTAGGATGGATGAACAGGGGGACGAGGCTTTAGTAGCCAGTTTCCGCGCTAAGCGAACAACAGATTTCGGCCTCTGGGGGCCCTCGCTGGGCCCCGGGACCGCCGGAAGACGACCTGGGATGAAGAACTGGTCCCGGGTAAGGCGACCAGCCCTGACGAGGGGGGGCAGGAGAAGCAGGGATAGGGGAAGAGAATGCGGTGCAAGCATGAATTGTCGGAGGTCCGCGCAGATTTCTCGGGCCAGTGCTTGGCTCCCTGGCGCGCTCTGCACGCCAGGGAGCGGGGTTCAGCGCCGATCCAATAAATCCGCGCGGACCTCCGAAAGTGTGCGCTTAGGCCTACCTGTTCTTCTCTATTCCTCCTCCATCCTCCCTCCCCCTTTCCTCTTTGCCTCCCCCTTTCCCCTCCCCATTTTTTGTTTGTTTTTGTTTTTGTTTGTCTCTCTCTCTCTCTCTCTCTCTCTCCCCCATCACCCTCCCTTTCTGTCCTCGCCCGCCCCTTCCCCCCCGCCCTCCCTCTCCCCCAGCTTCCCCCACCCCCTCTCCCCTCCCCCTCCCTCGCTCTCCGCCGCCCCCCCCGCTCGTTCCCTTCCCGCCCACCTCTCCTGCGCCCCCCCACGAGCGCTGCTTCGGCGGCACGCAGAGGCGCCCCCGCCGGCGCGATGGCGGCCTCCACTCCGCCCCTGCTCGCGACGCCTCCAGGCACGCCCGGGGCCCCGCCCGGGGGCCGATGTTGAGCTTCCGCTGTCCCAGCTCGCCCTGCTTCGGTTCTGCCGTTGCTCCTTGTCGCCCTGGCACGGCCAGCCCGATCCTTCGCGCCCTCTGCAGGAGCGATGGCGGGCGATGCCATAAGAGAGCGCTGGGAGAGCAGTTGCAGCAGCTCGCTAGCATGGGCGTCTCCTCCGGGTAGGCGCACGCTAATCCTGAGCCTGAACCTGGCCCTGGATCGTGCTCCCACCACATCCTCCATGCTGCATAGACATGGACTTGGACATTCGGAGGTCCGTGCGGATTTCTCGGATCGGCGCGGGACTCACCTCCCCTGACACGCGAAGCGCGCCAAAGGGGTCATCTACGTCCTCGTTCATGACGGTGTTTTCTTCCGCCGTTCCTGATTCTGCTGCCTCTCATCGTTTGGGCGCCTTCCTGGGGACCAGCTCTTCATCCCATGTCGTCCCGTGACGGTCCTGGGAGCCGGTGAGGGCCCCAGGAGGCCGAAACCTGTCAAAAGCTTGTCGTCGTGATCTGTTCACGACACGATGCTGTCAGGGCCTTCCTTCTCCCTGCCTCCCCTCCCTCCCTCCCCTCGCCTGTTCGCCTTGACGTGGCAGCCACGTCTCTTTCTCCCCCCGCTCCAGCCGTACCTGCCTGACCATGCTGCCTTCTGCTCCGTCTTCCCCGGAGAAGGAGAGGAGGAGGAGCTGTTTTTCTTGCGCGAGGGCTCGGGCCCAGGGTTTGTCCTGCGGGATACCTGTCCCAGGTGCCAGGTTGGAAGAGGGCCGGCGGACTCACGTGCGATAGAGTCAGAGGGTCGAAGCGGGCCAGCGGATTAAAGATTGAGGATGTCCCGAGCGAAGCGCAGATGTGTGAAACTCCGATCGATAAACCAGTAAAATGATGAGTTTCGTTTGTGGCGGATGTTTCGAGCGAAACGGTTGTTTTTCCCTATGGATACGCCTCTCCTGATGGGCCAGACTTCAGAGCAGGTCTCAGGCGAACTGCTTGTTTACACGTGCCCAGATGCGCAACAACTTGGCACACAGTTTCCTCGGATGGTGATTTTCCAGACTTCCCATTGGGGTATCTACCATGGTGATCCACAGCTTGAAGCACGTAATTTTACATGTTTAGGCAACTCGGAGGGGTGTCTAACATGGTGGCCCCGCGCTGGAACCACGTGTTTTCACGTGCCCAGGCCACCCAGGGGGATGTCTCACGTGGTGGTCCCGAGCTTGAACCATGTGTTTTCACCTGTCTAGGCCTCCCAGAGAGGTATCAAGCACGGTGGCCCCGAGCTGGAACCATGTGTTTTCACGTGTCCAGGCCACCACCGACATGGTGGTTCCGAGCTGGATGTGTATGTTTCTCCCGTCCATGCCGCCCTTGGGTGGGTATCTAAGATGGTTGTCTCTTGCCCCTCGCTGGATCCCGTGTTTGCACGCGCCCAGGCCACCAGGAAAAAAAGGATCCAACATGGTGGAGGGGGAGGAGGAGGAGGAGGAGGAGGAGGAGGAGGAGGAGGAGGAGGAGGAGGAGGAGAGGGATGAGGGGACGGCAGAAGAGGAGGAGGAGGAGGAGCAGGGGGAGCAGGAGGAGGTGGAGGAGTGAGGAGGTGGAGAGGGAGGGGGAGGAAGGAGGAGGAGGAGGAGGAGGGAGGCAGGCTAGGAGCAGGAGGGAGGAGGTGGAAGGAGTGTGGGAGAGAAAGCGGGTATCAATGTTAATGAGAGGGAACAGCCGGTCCACCATACGAAGTATAACGTGGTTGGGTCGAGTAAGGTGGGGTGTGAGGGAAGATGAGGAGGAGGTGGAGGAGGAGAGGAGGAGGAGGGGGAGGAGGAGGAGAGGAGGAAGAGGAGGGCGAGGAGGGAGGAGAGGGTAAGAGGAGGAAGGAGAGGAGGAGGAGGAAGAGGAGCGAAGGAGGAGGAGGAGGAGGAGGAGGAAGAGGAGGAGGAGGAGGAAGAGGAGGAGGAGGAGGAGTGCGACGGAATGGGACAAGGGCATGTCGCCTGGCCCACTCGCGGCCGCCTTCCTTGTGGCGGTGTGTCGCTCCGGTGGTGCTAGGGTCGTTAACCGTCTCTGGAGCGACACAGGTCCTGATACTGCGGACCCATCTGCGCCGACCCTGATTCTGCGGGCCAGCTACGCGGACTCAGGAGGGCAAACATGTGCCACTCTTGTAGGAAAGGCCCATGATGCGAGGGAGTCGAACCCTCCACCGCGTAGAAGAAAGGCCGCCTTTTGTCTCCGCCGACTTGGGCCAACTCCCTGAACAGTGTGCCCTCCGCTTTAGACATATAGCGCCGGTGCCAGGATACGACGCCGTGCTCCTGCGGAGGGCAGGAGGAGGAGGAGGAGGACGACCAGTGTAAACCCAAGAGGCATCAACGATGTTGGGATAAACCCTCCCTCCAGGCTCCTTCTTCACAGGCCCCTACAACGGTTCATTTTTGTCTGAAGGACCTGCCTCGTTGGACTACAACTGTTTGAAGACCCTGGAGCATGCCAAAACACTGTTCTCGGGATTCCAACGCCACGGATCAACCTGACTGTTGCGTCTTCACGATCCGTAATCGTACCAAAACGCCATTCCTGGGACTTGAACACCGCGAATCAACATAACTTGTGCATCCTCATAGGCCTGAAGCCTTGTAATGCACCATTTCTGGTACTTTGTGATCATGGGAATCCGTGGAAGTCCTGCACAGTTTTAAGACCAGTGTGCGCGGTGCTCAGGCGAGAGCCACATTTTGAAAACGACTCGCCCTCAATCCGTGACACTCTTGCAATGTTTTCAAAAGAGTGTGCGCGGCGCTAAGACGAGAGCCACATGTTGAAAAGGAACCGTCCACAATCCGTGAACCTCTTGCACATTTTCAAGACGAGTGTGCGCGGCGCTACGGCGAGAGCCACATTTTGAAAACCACTCGCCTTCAATCCGTGAAACTCCTGCAGTTTCTTCAAGCGAATGTGCGCGGCGCTTAGGCGAGAGCCACATTTTGAGAACGACTCGCCCTCAATCCGTGAAGCTCTTGTAGTTTGTTCAAACGAATGTGCGCGGCGCTTAGGCGAGAGCCACATTTTGAAATCCACTCGCCCTCAATCCTTGAAACTCTTGCACATGTTTAAGACGAAAGTGCGCGACGCAGCGGCAACAGTCACATTTTGAAAACCACTCGCCCTGAATCCGTGAAACTTTGAAATGTTTGAGACGAGTGTGCGCGGCGCTAAGGCGAGAGCCACATCTTGAGAACGACTCGCTCTCCATCTGTGCAACTGTTGCCAGTTTTTGAAAGTTTCAGAGTTATAAAGCCCGGCCCGCTCTAAACTTATATCTCAGGAGAAGGACTGGCGGGGAGGAGGAGGAGGAGGAGGAGGAGGAGGAAGAAGAGGAGGGGAGGAGGAGAGGAGGAGGAGCCGAGGAGAAAGGAAGAGGCGGAGGAGGATCGGAGGAGGGAGGGAAGAGGAGGAGGTAGGAGGAGGGGATGAGGAGGAGGCGGAGGCGGAGGCGGAGGCGGAGGAGGATGGAGGAGGATGTGGGAGAGGAGGAGGAGGCGGAGAAGGAGGAGGAGGAGGGGGGATGTGAGGGGGAGGGGGGGAGGGGGAGGGGGGGGCGGAGGGGGAGGGGAGGGGGAGGGGGAGGAGGGGAGGAGGAGGAGGAGGAGGAGGAGGGAGGAGGAGAGGAGGAGGAGGAGGAGGAGGAGGAGAGGAGGAGGAGGAGGAGGAGGAGGGAGGAGGGAGGAGGAGGAGGAGAGGCGTGAGGGAGGAGGAGGAGGAGGAGAGGAGGAGGTGGAGGAAGAGGAGGAGGGGGAGGAGGGGGAGGGGAGGAGGGAGGAGAGGGGGAGGGGGGAGGAGGAGGAGGAGGAGGAGGAGGCGGAGGAGGAGGAGGAGGAGGAAGGAGGAGGAGGAGCGCGAGAAAGTGCCAGGAGGTGCGAGGCCTTGATGGGGAGGAGCTAGTTGGGAGGGGGAGGGGACTAGGAGGCGGGAGGAGGAGGAGGAGGGGAGGAGGGTTGTAGGAGGAGGAGGAGGGAGGAGCAGGAGGAGGAGGAGGAGCATGAGCAGCTGGATACTGCTGCTGTTGATGAAGGTGATGATGCTGCTGATGATGACGATGATGTTGATGACGATGAGGAGGATGATGATGCTGATGAGGATGATGCTGTCTTGATGATGGTGATGATGATGAGGATGATGATGAGGATGATGATGATGCTGATGACGATGGTGATCATTATGGTGATGATTATGCTGGCAATGATGCTGATGAGGAGGAGGAGGAGCAGGGGGAGGAGGAGGAGGAGGAGGAGGAGGAGCTTCGAAAGAGCTGACGCGACGACGATGTCGAGTAACGCCTATTGGCTGCGCCATCTCGGGGCCCGGGAACGAGGCGGTCCCTAGTTTGGCATTGGCTTGCCTTTGGGCAAACAGTCGATTATATACACCCCGTTCTTGGTCGGGCCCTTACACTCGAATCGCAAACCCTTGACGCTACCACGGTCGGTAGCTTTGGACCGACGGCCACAGGTGGAACACCATCATACATCGGCACATTGCAACGCGTGGGAAGGGTGTACCGATATGTTGCCTAGTTGGATGCTTTGCGTGAGGCGTTGGGCACACTTAGACCCAGGACGAATATTGATTGAAAGTCGTTAGCCATCTTCATGACTAAGGCTCCTGCACACTTACCAGCAGCTTCTTTACACGAGGTACACTGCCAACAACTACGGGGCAGGATGAGGACAAGAGGGGAGACGGAACGGGCCTGGCTCAGCTCACTTGTGGTTTTCTTCTTGAGCCCCTGGGCCTGCTTCTCGCTCATCTGGGTGGCGGGGTCCTTGGCGCATGCCTCGATATGAGCACGTATGAGTCGTTTCCGCACCAGAGCGCAGGTTGCGCGAACCCATTCATACACCTTGAGCTGCGGAGCTGATACAGCGTGTGCCCCCGCCGCTCTGTCGGCCAGGGCATCCGCTGCCGCATTG